TCTGACTTAGGCAGGTTCGATGCTCTTGAATTTCTTCCAAGTCGTCCACTGGCGCTCCTTGAACTTCGAAAATCTGCTGGGATGTTAAGCCTTCGTAGAAGCCTCCGAAAGATGGCGTCACCTGGTCCTGCCACAAGCTATGAATTCCCTAATGTCTTGGAATGTTCTGAGTACTGTGTAGGCATATGAAACTGACACAAAACATCAAAAACACACGTGCTCTCAACATGGAAACTCATCGTTTATCAACAATGAAATTGGGTGCCCGCGGACAATACTCGAAAATGAAGCTCCATTTCCCCTTGAAAGGAGGCTATCGCACCGATACGCTGCTATAATATGACTACCTGTGTGTGTCAACTGCTGTCGAAGTTTTACTGCGAAAGCTTGAGTTTTGAGGAAATTACGTTTAAAAAAGTGAAAACGAATACTTCACTGCACGGTACTGTATATATAATAACTGAAAATATTATAGAAGTAGAAGAAAACCTTGAAAAAACCTGATTGGAGATTGCTGCCACGAAAAGGCATTGCTTCAAATCACTGTCCCTCTGTAGCAGCAATTCTTTAACCGTTTGACTACTACTCTGAAGTGATAGACATGTGTTCCACTTCAAAGCAGTAGTCAAAGGGTTAAAGAAGTCCCAAAAGTGTGGGACATGTGTTCCACTTCCATAGTCAAAGGCACTCCCACACTCCTGGGACTTATTGAGATAGGAGCGCCCGTTTGATGGCGCACGGATGGGAACTTCATAGTTTTACTCTTACAACAAATCGTCACATGATAAGGCAACTTACCCTGAGTGAGTTACTGAAAGTGAGTCGTACCGAAGGTCACTGGCCATGTGCGCAGCTCTAGAAAAAGTTTTCATGTTTCGCACACTTTTAATACTAAAATGTGTATTTGTAAGTCACTAAATTGCCAATTCACATTCCAAAAATATTCCAAAACCAAAAGAGCAGGCAGACAGCTAACGCATTCCACGAAGAGATCTCTTTCTGACCGGTGGAACCTAACGCTCCACCGACTGTCCAGTTTCACCGAAACCTTCCATGCCATGCGCGCGGTAGCGTGCGGAGCTAAACTGATACCACAATGATGGCATGTTCAGTTTAGGAATGTATAAGTAAATCTAACGACAATCAGAACTGGATTAAAAGCCTTTTTAACTCTAAACAGGTTCCGTTTTATGTTAAGCATAGTCATCGTCTGACAGCGAAAATGTGGCTGTAGAATTGTGAAGTCGCCCCCGTCTTTTTTTGGGCTAGCTATATGTTGACAGAGATGTCGCATTGTGTTCACATTCCCCCCACATGACGCACGTCTTTTGGAAGTGTAATCAGAGAAGCGGTATCCAGTTGTGTAAAGCAATATTTACAGATCACGAAGCGCTGATGCATGGATGGAGCCATTGCGAAATGTTTTGAGGTGCATCCTTCAGAACCGCGGCTGCAATCACTGGCGAGGTGAAAACTGTGCTTAACCAGAATTGCAAAATCGTTCTAGGTTAAGACTGAAAAGCCCGCTTACACATACCCCGTCACAACAGCAGGGCTTTGAAAATCTTGAAAATTTGGTGCAAATGCTAGGTTGACAACCGCTGTTGTTGCGCGGAACCATTGCTCCATATTCTGTGGCCTATCGAAGGCGAAATACAACGACCAACAAAGCTCGTTCGAATAGTAGGGCTCTGAATGTATAGGGTAGACAAATGGGAGGTCTCGAGATGGTGCCGATCTGATCACGTGCTGGTACATGGGAGTCCTTTGCCTTCAGCAAACGTGCTAAAAAGAGCGAGGTCGGAAAATCATAGAAGGTGTCAAGCTACACTACCATGGAAAAGACATCAAACAGAACAGCGTGGCCATAGTGGTAGTAGAATGCCGCATAGATTACAGTTCTGTTGCTGGGAGGATTCCATCGAAACATGCCTGTACGGATAGACAAAAAAGAAGTCCTGGACGCTATTGTCTATGCGCGTAACGCAAGCTGTTTGTTCGCAACCAGGATGGATGAAGCTCTATTATACATTATATGTCGGTTATGCCGTAGCATTCTGATCAGTTGCCGAATTAGATGCTAACCAAAGCAGGTGAGCTAAAGGATAACTTCAGTTGCAACAGACGGAGTTTGAAAAGGATGCACTGAAGGAGGAGTGAGAGTAGGGAATTTAAAGTGAGTGAAAGCCTTCGTCTGACCCTGGGCGTAGCCCTCTACCTGAATCTGGGCGGCACCATTTCTCGGAAAATGGAAAAAACTGGGAGGTACATCAGTAGTGGAGGGAGGCAAACGGAAACCATATATATATAAGGGAATTCGTGGTCCGAATGTCAAGAAAACCGAGATCCTGTTAGGTGAGAGCCTTGAGCAGATAATACCCTGAGCTGAAAGCATGGCTAAGAACCTATCGCATTTTCACTACAGATGCTATCTTCATGGCTAGGCAGGTGATGGAGAATCATTGGAGGGACTATCGACAGCATTACCTTACATTCTGACATGGAGGAGGGCCACCTATCTCATCCAGTGCTCAGGAGAAAGTTCACAGGGAGATGGACGTGGCTAAAACTTACCTGATCTACTGACGTGATCTGACGTTACCTGTTCTCTTAATAAAAAAACGACGAGGCTAAAACAGCAATGCGCCCTATGCGCGCCCTGCGCCTCTGCGGACTCCATTCCCATCCCGTGGGCTGCCAAAATTTTACTCTCCGATTGAAGCTAAACCAGCTGAGGCCATTTGACAACAAACTCAGCCAACTACTTTTGAGTGCCTAGGGCATGTCTTCACTGGTCATGATTTAGAGCGGGCGATGTTAGCACACTTGGTTAGGGGCGTCAGATTTGAGTAAAGTGTACCCATGCTACGACCTCGCACAGCAGCGCGGCGACTCGTCCTTACCGCATCTGCGTCTTTTTCTTCGCGACTCCGCAGCCGACGGCGTCCGTTGGGAGCACCCAGATCTTTACGTGCGCCGAGATTCCGTCCTTGATAGATCGTCGACGCAGAATTTTCTTCAACTAGCAAATGTTGAAAGAGAGCTAAATACACGTGTAGAAGACAACCTTTCCGCTCTCTACGACTGTCTTCTCTTTTTCAGGTCCTACGGAATTAGAGAGATACTGCCTTTTAATTGACAAAAATTCGCATGGAAAATTCGCGTCTCGGACGCTGCCCCCCGACAATGTTTATAGAACCCAGGTCGGTGCTCGCGTGCAAAACTTCTAGATCAATTCAATATTTTTCCGGTAGTAGCAAATCTAACTTTATCTTACCCTACCACATGCAGCTCCGAAGATTATGAATTGGGGTCCTAATGACCTTTCATCGAAACAGTGTAGATTTCGACGGTTCGATGCGGGGGGGGGGTTTTAGGAAAACTGCTGACACGCATAAAAGCGCGCATGCAAAAAACTTTGAATGCTTTGCTGTAACCATTGAATGGAACGGCGCCTTATTTACCATCATTTTAAATAGAGGGCGGTTCGTATCAAGACCCGATCTGGCGGGGGTCATCTAGATGGACCACCGTTGCTCGCACACGGAATCCTACTACACACACTTTTCCTCCAAAAGGGCCATGGTCGTGGAAACTACTTTCCTCAAAGTCCCGCCACATGTCAAAAACCCGCACAACCCGACCCCCTCCGCGCAACCAGACGATCCCAAATTACTAGTCTCCCCATGAGTGCAATTCCGTTCAAACTTACATTTTTCCAATGGATAGATTTGTAATCTTCGAAATTCTTAGTTTCGGTCGCCCAGAATATTTTCCGCACTTCAGAAACTTTCTTTAATGTGGAGGCAAGCATTGAAATCAGCGAAATCTTTCCGATTGCCTTCCCTCACAATGGGGCCTACGAAGAGGCGAAAAAATTGGAAAACTTTTTTTTTTGATAGCACTGTAATGAAGTTTTCTTGGAAAAAATCTTAAAGTTTCGCGGAAGGCCGTTTTTATGGGCGGAGCTTTCATTCTCCGAAACTTGCTTATGAATATCTCCACAACTAAATTAGCTATTACATTAGGATCGAAATTTGTCCGCGCGCCGATGATCGACGTTTTCAGCTCTTCGGCTGTTACATTTTGCTTTAAATTACTGTGGAACTTTTTCAGAATTAAGGCCAATATTTTTCCATGTGGGAGTCTGATTCAAGCAGATAACATGATGGCCACCAGATAACTGCCACATTTTTTCCTGCACTCCCATCTGGCGTGGAAGGATCGGCATGGACAACCGCGTTATCGCGCGTAAAAATCAAGGATCGACGGGGATCCTTGTTGAAAAAAATGGTAAGACTCGCTTCGAAAGAACTTCACGATACCCTGTGGAATCTTTGTGAACGGAAACAAAAGCGAGCTCTAGCTACTCAGTCGTTCAAAGGTGCCTCAAACCATAAGGGATTCACCGCCGAAATTACGTTACATTGAAACCATCTGCGATTTTCACGGAACCCTCCTGTACCCTCTTTTCTATCAGGCCCACCTGGAATAAACTTTTGCGCGTCGATCCCAGATCACCTGTAGCATAAAACAAGGAGGTGGTTTGCAAGATCACGAAGAGTCTACGCAGCCATACCTCCGTTCGATTGGTTTAGGCGCTTTTCCCACGGGGAAATGGAGACGTGCGATCTTGTGGTACTCCTATAATCCTGGGACGCACTTCAGAAATCCTCTGAAGAGGGTTTTTCGCCGTGATGAGGAATCTAATGGTGATAGCGGCATTTTCCAAAAAATGCACAGCAACTTTGGGATAGCAAAAATTTAGGGTGGACCTATAATTATGAAACGCAGTGTATAATGAAGAGATTTGTGGTCGGGACATTTCACGGGACGTTTTTTTTTCGAAAGTTCTGAGGGAAAAAGACAGGAATTTCCATACTGCGAAGGAAAAACACTGTCTTGCTACTGCCCGATTAACTGCATATTTGTGCGAGCCACAACACTGTGAACCACAGTTGTTCTGCCTAGGTATTGTTCTAGTCGGACTACATTGATATGATACCTCCTTCAACAATGAATCAAAAACTTTGCAATGTTGTTCACTAATTCCCAAAGCAAAGATGAAGCCAGATTGATGATCATTGCAAACCCGCTCCGGGCCGTCACCATGTCTCGGATGTCCACTTCAACTTATCATCATTTCCTGCTATGTATCTTCATCCTCCGATGAGAGCTCGCTTCTTGTCTTGCACTTTTGACAATGCACGCATTGTCAAGAAGGGACAGTCGCCTGTCTTTGGACCACTAGAGAATCCTTCTGTTCGTTTGTACTACTATTTATATTAGGTTGGCCCATAGCTTGTGCAACACTGCATTTAGTGCTCGAAACGTTTTTTTTCTTTTCAAAAATTTCGCACCTGCTTGTTGAAGTAGCATCCAGTTTTGCAATTTCGGCTGACAGACCAGCTCACTGTCTCACTCCTTCTTATGGTTACTCTCCTGATTTCGCAAAAATCTTTTTATGATCAAGTTTTCCAAGAGCAGCGCTAGGGATCTGAGGCTACATCAGGGGCGGTAGTAACATGATAGGTAGCAATCGAATGCGGTAACTTTTCCCCATTGACGAGGATAGGTAACGTAGAAACGCGGACATTGCCCTTTGGAACGGCCTGCTCCGCCACGTTGTCTGCAAAACTTGGCCCTTTCTTGAACTTGAGCGCTAGATGACAGGTCTCATCGTCGAGATTTTGCCAGTGTAGCAGTGATCTTCGACAGCAGCACTAGAGGATATGTTGACAACAGTAACCAACGGATGTTGCTTGCAAATTTTAGACAACAGGCTATGTATACAGCAACGTTTGTCAATTGGCAATTTTTCATGGCTAAAATAGTAAGCATTCCCAACGCTGTCTGGGCAAACTTGCGCTACACATTTGCTTGAGCTTGCGACGCACCTTCTTATGAGCGGAACCATTACCGCTGCACTAAGGAGCCTTATGAAAGTGTTGTAGAGAAAAGGGAATAATACAAAGATTAGGACAACCGTAGGTGTCCTACCCATTACCAACGAGAACGCGGGCGCTCCCTGCCCCTCTCCGCACCCTCCTTTAGGCCCACGGGTACTGGCAGCTTGAGTGTGCCACATCTACCGCCTGCATTTTCACCCCTCGTGCACTATTTCTATTTTCTGTAGGTGTCGCTGCTTGTTTTTGAGGACAATCCTGCCCTTAAAAATCTGCCAATCCTCTTGAAGCCACTTAGGTGATCACCCTTATTTCCGAGTGAGTTCGAACTACTGAATATATTCTGATGAGAAATCTTCGGAAAGGTTCCAGAGGTCCTCTACTCATGTTCTAGAACACTTTGAATGCAGGCCTTCAACAGTTTGAGATCGTGATCACATGACAATTAGCAGTTGAGACCAGATAACTACCCTAGAAATGTGGGCGATGGCGCGCTCCCTCAATCCATGGTGCATATTTGAAGATGATCCATATCAATTTTCTTTTTACCAAGCACCGGTGGAGAACAAGGCGAAGTCACGACTTCAGTACAGACCATATTAGGAATGAGTGCTGTTCGCGCAGAACAGTCACTCCTAGTCCATCGGGTCCTTCAGGAGTTCCAGTGAGTACCCTCGAAGTTTGACTGATGTAGCTTTCTTACCAGACTAAAATTTCGTGGCACATAAACACGGTCAGGTGGTCGCCTTTTCGGCCCAAAGGAAACTACACACTTCACTCCCACTGGTCTTGTTCTTGTTAATTGAACTACGGCTCCATAGCATACAGGGACACATATGTAGTGCCTTGCAGACCATTGTCCACATGGCCGCGCTGAAATTTGCAAACAGTCTGGCTATATTCATCATGGACCTATAAGATTTGTGGCCCACCCTTTCCTTCACAGTTTTTCTGAACTATTAAATAGCTCAAGTTACAGGACGGCTCCAGTAAGTACGACATTCTATTGATCATCTCCGCAGTGCACGGCAGATTGTAGACCGATGCAAAGCATGTGAGGATAGCCATGTTTGTTTGATGTCCAGTCTCGCTCAAAAAGGCAGAGAAAGATTACAAATATATTTGCGTTCCGCACAATAGCTCAACGCTAAGGGAAGCCATGAATACACATGATTATTCTGAGGCACATACATGGCAGAAGTACAAGTGATATACTAGTAATTCAGGGAAACCAATTACCACAAGGAAACGGTGAAAATTTCGTTGCACTATTGATGGAACACCCTCTATTTCCTCAACATAACATACTTCAGTTGTATCTGCAAATTATTGTCAATGCGGCGCTTCAACATCTCTAATGTGTTGGAGAATTTCACGGGATCCTGATCGAAAAAAGGTCGGACGTTGGCTCAGATCGTGTTACTTGCATTTGGCGGGAATTTTTTCCCGAAAAAGAATTCAAAAAAGTTGATTAGGTGATCGTTCGTGTTTACGGGGTCAGCAATAGGGCAAAATTGAAAGTTGTCAGAAAAAATCGAAGGTCTTGTTTTCATTCCGCGTTGGAGCCGTTGCGTTCCGAATTCGATGCGACTGGGCAGATCAAAGTTTGATTCTAATACATTGACTTGGACACTAGGAGGTAGCAGTGTCTAGCGCACAACGTTTACCATCAAATGGGACCTGATTCGTAACACCTTGCATTTTCGCCAACAGGATTTCGAAGTAATTGAAACCAGACTAGACTTGTCCATAGAACTAACGCGCAGTGCCTACCTCTAACTAAGGTAACGATCGGTTGAGGAAATCCTCGACAGAGGGTCGTCTTTGTTAGGATCCATCATGGGGGTCACATTCTAATGCCAGTAACATCAGTGGAACCTTGGTGCAGATTGGCGTGAGGGTGTAGCGCAGCAGTAAATGGATATAATTATGATGTAAAATGACTTTGAATGTACCTTTTCTTCTTTACTCGATCGCGGGTTCTCAGCAAATCTAACCCAGGGATAGACCGCGCTGCAACTGCACACTTCGAAGTGCATAAATGTCGCTCGTTTATTCACATCAAATCAAAATTAGGGTATCGTATCAAGACTCCGATTTTGAGAAGGGGGTCGTATTAATGTGACAACTTCCTCTTCTTGTCATTTTCACCCTGCTTGTAACCGTTGGCCATGCTAGATAGTCAATCAAAATAACGATGGAAATAAAAGGAAACGCTGTGAAATCACATCGGGTTTTAGGTGTGGGCTCTCGCACTGGAACTAGCCCTGTTAATCCAAATCTACCTTCTATGGGAAGTCAGTAACCGCCGAGAAGATGCTTTGTTCAAAAGTGTTTTGCCAGACAACGGCTAGCCTTTGCCTTTTCAAAATAGCGTCACGTAGTGTCTCAATAATGCTAGTCATGTGGCGGGAAGATTGATAATCTTCTTCTAGCAAGGAGACCCTAAGCGGTGCTCATAAATAATTGCTTTGAAATAGGTCGTAGAAAAATTGAGCTTTAAACACGTAAGGCAGCAAAGAAGCAACGAGCTGCCTTCGCTTCAGATTGGGCGCAGACGGTATGTCGTGAACAATGCATGAGTTTTCTTTGTCTGAGGATGGACTAATCTAATAGTTTCGCAGCTGTTGGAACTTGCAAAAACAGTATGTAGAAAATTAAGAATACTAACTTCAAATATCTTTTATTCAACATCTCGACATTGTTCGAACGGACAACATCACTAAGAAGGCCTCGGAATGACTTTATCCCATGATAACCTTTTTTATTATATCTCCAATACCTGGTATGTTGGGCAGGCCTGGTATGTTGGGCAGACCTGGTATATTGGGAAGGTTTGGCATGTTGGGAAGATTTGGTATGTTGGGCAGGCCTGGCACTTTTGGTAGACCTGGAATGTTGGGAAGATTTGGTGCGTTGGGCAGACCTGGTACGTTAGGCAGACCTGGTATATTTGGTAAACCTGGTATTGCTGGACCAGGTGCGTTTGGCTGGGGTGCATTTGGTTGGGGTGCGTTTGGCTGCGCCGGCGGGTTCACTCCTGGTATATTAGGCACACCTGGTATGTTTGGCAAACCTGGTATTGCAGGATTAGGTGCATTCGGCTGGGGTGCGTTTGGCTGCGCCGGCGGGTTCACTCCTGGTATATTAGGCAGACCTGGTATGTTTGGCAAACCTGGTATTGCAGGATTAGGTGCATTCGGCTGGGGTGCGTTTGGCTGCGCCGGCGGGTTCACTCCTGGTATATTAGGCAGACCTGGTATATTCGGCATCCCTGGTATTGCAGGAGCTGGAGCGTTTGGTTGGGGCGCGTTTGGTTGTGCCGGCTGGTTCAGTCCTGGTATATTAGGCAGACCTGGTATGTTTGGTAGACCCGGTATATTCGGAAGGCCTGGTATGTTTGGTAAACCAGGTATATTCGGCAGGCCTGCAACAGGCACGGGCACTGGCACAGGCACGGGCACTACGGCAGGTACAGGCTGTACTCCAGCTATAGGCTGCACAGCAGGTATTGCTGGTACGCCAGGTATTCCGGGCATCATTGGGACTGCAGGAACTCCAGGTACAAAAGGTACTCCAGCAATGGGGGGACACACGGTAAGGCATGGAATACACACAGTTGGAGTACAAATAAATCTAGCCTTTTTAGGGGGCGCAGGCGAATAAGGTTCCGTAGATGTCTCATTCGCCATCGTGTCTGTCTCTTCTTCAGGCTCAGGAAGATCTTCAGAAGACGTGCTAGTTTTTTCTTCTGATTCTACAAGAGGTTCAGCCGATGTTGTGGTACCCTCCTCGACCTCAGGAGCAGTTTCAGGTGATGGTACCGTCAGTCCTTCGATTTGTGAGGGATTAACGACAGTAGGGTCATCGTTCGCGGCTTCACGTCTCTGAAATTTGAGAAGAAAATGATTAGATATTCATTAATTTTCCATTATTTCAAGATTTTTCTTTGTTATTTCTAGCAGCACATAAGTACTGCTAGAAAAAAAGCAAAACGAATAGGACTGCTTTCTACGAAATAGTCAGAATATGAGCTCACGGTTATGTATGGCTAGAACAGCCAGTGTTAGTAAGAGCATAATATGTACTTGAGGAAGGGAAAACGGAAAAGGAGATGAAGAAAAGCGAAGAGTGCACAGTGGCTAAGTTTCACACTTACCCATTTTGGAAGTGCAAGCGCTGGCCCCACAAGTGCCACAAAGAATAAGGTGATGCCGAGACGCATCTGGAATGGATTCACGTTAAATATTTGATGATGATATTCATTATGTTCATGTACTGTTGATCACTGTATCGGTGGCACCGCCAGAGTGGAGGGTTCAAAAAACAAGCACAAAAGCGTGCTATCGAAAATTGAGGCTCTTATTAATGACTTCACTCCAAAGATAGCTACGAGGTAAAGCACTAGAAGAGCAGACGAGATGTGACAATTGCTGCAGGATCTGCCCAACTCTTATACTGCAACCATTCATAGCGCCAGCAATACGTGTGTGATGTTTTTCTTTTCCAGATGATTTCACCTGGACTCCTAATTTGTTTGATCAAGGGAATTAGCTCACCAGGACAGCAATGGTTATCGCAACAATGAAGGCTGTCATGGGCGTTTTAGTTCTCATAGGATCTTTTCCACTGATGAAATAGGAATGCGGTGATCACATAGCTCAGTGGCAAATGTTTGTGAGTATGCTTTTAGGGGAAACTAAGGGATCATGCTATGGCTACGTTTTCTAGACCAGAAAGCATGGAGGCCTACATAGTAGAACTCTTTCAGGTACGACTTGAAACATTTAGGTACTCAAGGTTAGACGACTTCGCGGTTTCTGAACTATTTTGCTGCTAAATAGCGCGGCATTGACCTGGCTCAAAGATAGATGGACGGCGCCAGACCTGCGCTATATGGCGTAGAAGGTAAACGTTCTAGCCCAACTCTCAATTTTTTGTAGCGTAATTTTCGCGACATGTGGTCCTGCGTTATCGTGCCATAGTTTTATAATGGCCGGATTTCCCACTTGACGACGCAGCGCTTGGCCAACGCGGGCTGGCTGTTGTGCGCAGGGTTCAGCTGTAACTGTCTGAAGCAGCTGTCCATAATGGGCCAGTCCTATACTGTTTCATCATGAACAAGCAGGACTTTTTTCCGTGGACGTCCAGTTTCGGAGTCATCCTCAGCTCTCCATCTGCTTCCAACCGCGGCCATCTTCTCACTTTGTTATCGGGAACATCCTATTGTGAAGTGCGCTTACAACGAAGTCAGAGCCTTCTTCCTCTTGGAGTTATGGAAGCAGAGTTCAGTATTGGCAACCAGTACTGCTTGCTCGTGTCGCTCAGAATAGGCCGAACCCATTTCTATCCTGAAAGGCCTTATCAGTCGCACGTAGAAACTTTTGAATTTTACCGTTGACACAGCCCTGAGATTTTCTGTGTAGTCTGATGAGAGCTCAATCGTTGGGTTTCTCTATTTCTCCGTCATCTAGAGCTAATCAAAATCCACGATCTTCCTCAGGTCCTTTACCTCAGTCTTGGAAGAGCTGAAATTTTAGCTGAATGTGCATCAGAGAATATGTGCTATTGCTCAATGTTTTTCCCTGCTCGAATATAAACGCTCGAACGATCTTTTCTGATCAACCATCTTCGAGCATCCCACTGAGCGGATGTTTGGGCGACGGACTTTTGGTGCGTCCGGGGTTGCACGCGGCGATCCGGACGAGGCAAGTCTTCGCGGGCTCCTGCAGTGGAATTCAACACGTCAGAACGTGTGCAGATCGCGGATAGAATCCACAAGGTTCTGCTTTGAAAGAAACTTCCCACTCGCGGAGATCGGTGAAATGCAGCGGTGTCAGTGAGAAGATTACAGCGAAAGGAGATGAAAGAGAGAAACTTCATAGAAATGTCACTATTATCATATTATAAATATGAATAAGAAGCACTAAAAATGGAGTCATTTAGTGAGATGTTATTTATTGTCAACTCTATATCTTTGCTAATCGCGGCGCTCCTGTCCTTGGGGAGAACTTTCAAAACAGGGCCAATGGAAGGTGACACTAGAACTAAGCTCATGAGAAGGGAAATACGCTCGGGAGAACAGAAATTGCTCACATCCTCCACGAGAAACTCTTCCCCTCAGGCTTAGTCCCAAACACAATAATTGGTTGAATCTCTCCGCTCATGGGATTCCCCCCCCCCCTTAACAACAAGCGCCAGCAACCTAAGCGCCCTGATTGCTATAGCAGCCTTTTGCTATTCCTTTTCTCTCTTCCTGCCGCTGCCTTTGAATATCCACGCGTTGGAATGTAATTCGAATCGCAGAACCTTGTGGATTCTATCCGCGATCTGCACACGTTCTGACGTGTTGGATTCCACCGCAGAAGCCCGCGAAGACTTGCGTCCGGGTTGCACGCGGCGAACCGCGCAGCTCGCCGCGGTTCAACCGCGTGCAACCCGGACGCACTAAAAGTCCCGCACCCCGGATGTTCTTCGAAGCAAAAGTTTTGGCTCGAAGAACATCCGCTCAGCTGGCGCTAAGGTTTCGCAATATGCGCACTAAATCGCTCTCTCGAATGAGTGGTCTCCCATATCACGAGGTTGCGTTTTAACTGAGAAACAAAGCAGAAAAGGAAGCGACATTTCAAAGTTACCAACCTAATACATATAACCGTTATACGCCTGTGTGTGTCCGTAACTGTGTTTGTCAACAATTTGTAGGGCGGAGCCCATTGGGACAGAACTGGTAACCACAGAGGAATATAAGGAGCGTTATAGCGTTGTCAAGAAATTCAAAGCGCGCGGCCCAACAACATGGGGAAGGGATTTTACGTAGAAACAGCGCAGAGGGTGGTTTGTAGCAAAAAGCGGTAACAGCTGGTAGACAGAAGGGTCATCAGTTCAAGGAGGGATTACTAAAGTTGCTAGCTGATACCTAAACTGCGTTCTCGATCCGCGATGTCGCCCCCAGTCGAGAACCATTCAACCGCTAATTGAGTTCTCAAGATGGTGGTCGTTCCTGGAAGGGTAAACAGGGGTGTTTCTATAATAGTTCAATATCGCTGGCATAAGAGTTATTCAATCGCTTAGCTATTGTAACATCCAGAGCATGGTAGTTGGTTACGCTAAGGACTGACAGTGGGCTACATTAGTAGTGGTATTACTTATTCAAAGCTTCATCGGTCGCTAGACCATGTTACTTTCAAAATAATAGATGTTTATGGGATTGCAGCGGTCCGGAGAATGGCTGCTTTATCATCAACACTGTAGCCTTTCGTTAATAGCATCAGTCAGATCCACTGAAAGCACGCATGCACTTAATACAAGACTGACTACGCTTAACAATACAAAAGTCTGCCTTGCCATGAGCGAGGTAGGAAGCGGAGCCAAATCGGTAAACATTGAAATTTTTGAGATTCAGGTCTCTCATAATTGTCACTGATATGAAACCATAGCGAGCTGGCGTCTAACATCATTAAATGGGTGCCAGATCTTGAATGAGATTCGTTGCTGAGCAGAGCACCTAAAACATGTTTGACCTCGCAATTTTTTTAAAGGTTTCAAGAACCTGAATGTTGTGAGGGTCACTGATGGTCTAAATCACGAAAATGACACCATATTGACATCGTTTGTTCTCCTTCCATAATGAAGTGTGTGCAGCGTGCAAAACATTACGCACCAACGGTAAGCGAGCTTATGACCTACTGCCTGCAGATCACTTGCAATGATTGTTCCACACAAGTACTCGTCTAATAATCGTTTTTTACCAACTCTGAATCAGAATCTTCTTCGGAATTAAAGCAACCTTTGTGCTCATTTTTGTAATCAGCGTTCGAGAGTTTATGGGTGTGATCAACGTCCTAAGTATCCTTTCGAGGTTCGATAAGAGATTCAAGTCATTCCGCTGTAAAATGAAGACCATCCAGACGAGTTGATCGTTGAGATGCAAATAGCTGTCCTATCAGGGCGGGACATTTTTTGGAAAATTAGCTTCAAAGTACTACGTCTAGTTCTTACTCCCCGATGATAGTGTCCTTTAGCGTTATTGAAGCTCTAACATTCCAGTGGCTCTCTCGTCCATACATGAACTCAAGTTATTGCGATTGTTGGCCACCAGAGAGACTAAACGCTCCACACCTGCTGGGGTGGCACTTAGCGACTGATAGCGGGATTGCTCGTACACTTCGTATAACGTCACCTGTAATTAAGTGGACATGCATAAAGCAGTACCCATCCCTTGTTTTCAATAGACATAAGTTGGTACTTCATTTCAGAAAATTCCAAAAATTAAGTCTCCACTCAAATCAATGTTTTAAAGATTTCTGGTACTTTGCAGCCCGTTTTTAGTAATTTACCTATGAGAATTGCAAATTTTGGGATCAGTGATTTCGCGCAAATCCACCAATGACAACGAAATCATCGAAACCGCTTTGTCCTCCGGCCATCGCGGCCGTTGCCTTAGATGTTACTTACAACCGAACAACTTTTTATCAGTTCACACTTCATTTTCCCCAATCTTTCTCCATCAAATGGGAAAAGCTAAGTCTCAGGTGAAAGAGATGTGAATACTACTTGAATCTGTTCATGAGCTATGTTGAGAAAATGTCCTGCGTAGTATCGCTGGAAGTAGATGAATTTAGTAGCCGAAACTGAACCTTCCACAGACCTCCAAAGCTATGGAGTAAATCACCTTCTCGTTCAAACACAAATAATACTCCTGTGAATGCAACACCCAGAGAAAAGTCAATTCGAGTGATTGCTGCTGTAAGAAGTCATTACTGCAAATGCTTATCTAGCAATAATTCTTTCAAATTGAGCAATAATTGTATTGCTCTCTTATCATCACATACCTATAATTTTGGGGTTATTCTCATGAACTAGAATGCAGTCCATCTGCATATATAGGGTTGGAACGTAATATCGTTTAGCGTTTTTTCGAGCGTGTAAATTGAATTAGTACAAGTATCACCCAGAAAGAACCCCCGATGACGCTTGGATACTGCGCTGGTGATATACTGCTAATGGATCGGTCGAAAATGAAATTAGAGAGACGTGTCAATCAGTGGATGAAACAGCTAAAGGACCATGGACTCAGGCTCAACATCAACAAAACAGAATACATGTGCACAACGGCCACAGCGTCTTCGATCACAGTAGACGGAGCATCCCTACCCAAGACCACCAAGTTTCCGTATCTAGGGTCCACACTGGCCGCGGACGCCGACAGTAAAGCCGACACAATTG